AAAGAAAGAAAGAAAGAAAGAAAGAAAGAAAGAAAGAAAGAAAGAAAGAAAGAAAGAAAGAAAGAAAGAAAGAAAGAAAGAAAGAAAGAAAGACGTTAGAAAAGGACAAGCTCAAGTCATCCAAGTGCACAAAATTTTAATTGTCCTGTCTGTCCAAACAACCAAATTCAGACCAAATTAAAAATGGACTGATTCTCATGTGATGGCATTACATGTTTTTGTTACATCACAATTGGGAGTGAAAATATCAGCATTGGTGTTCCAGAGCTTGTTCACCAAGGCCTATGAGAAGTAACTGTGCTTTCCTGGGTGGGCTCAGCGATGGCCCTGTTGACAAACTAATACTATGAAATAGACAGTGGTGGGGGCATTGACACCACAGGAGGTGGCAGCAGATGCTACAAGCCAGAGATTTTGATACTGAAGAATCAACTGGTGAGCATTTCCCAGCACGCCATTAGACTGTTACAGGCAGGTGTGTGCAGTCGACATTCTACCTCTGATTGAGGGCAGGCTTTAGAGATAATTTAGAATCTGATAGTTGTAACAGGAGGCAAATGGAAGACAAATGCTTTATTAATGTTATGTTTAGAGTCTCAGCCAATAACTTATGCATGCTAAAAATGTCTTCACAAATGTCCTCATCATGTGAGAATAAAAGAATGATAAGCTGTCTCACTTGTCCTATTCTGCTTCCTTACAGGGATTATTCCCCACTCACTTACACGCTTGCTATTTCCTTGATTCATACATTTTGATAAGTTAATCTAAGCTGGACCTCAACAGGGTGCTACACATCCACTCTTCTTGCAGCTCTGAAACCTTTGTCTCACTGCAGGACAAATGGGGAGCAAATTGGAGAGCTGCTGGAGCATCCAGAAAGTATGATGGAGAAACAGAGGCACTAAGGAAAGGAAGGTGTAGGAAGAGACAGAAGTAGGCGCAGCTGCAAAAATTCACCATCACAACAAAGGGGATTAAGACAGAGTGGGAGTGAGCAAGGGAGGAGAGAAGTACGGAGGGCAGTTGAATTTTTTTTTTTTTTAAAGATTTATTTATTTATGCATACAGAACTGGGGTACAGGCCAGAGGTGCAGTGGTGGTGAGAGGATTCACCAGAGACAGTGGGGAGCAGAACAGGCTGACTGACAAATAACATTGCTGAGGGGAGCAGCGTGCAGGTCAGGAGAGGTCCGCCGTGCCATGTGCTCACCTCCGGGGCAGGCAGGGATCAAACTCATGCAGAAGGGGCTTTAGCTTCTCAGTGCTGTGCTTTAACCTGCTGCGCCACCAGGGAGGGCCTGGGCAGTTGAATTTTAACTAAGATTTGAAGATCTGCTCTGGGAAGCAGAGCTGTTTGACAGACCAATTGCACATTGGTAGACAGATATATGCCCCATCACCTGCATTTGAAATATATAGAAAATAGAGAAAAATTTTTAAAAGATTTATTTATTTATGTATATAAGAACTAGGCACAGACCAAGGATGCAGAGGAGGTGAGAGGATTCACCAAAGACAGAGTGGGAAGCAGAACAGGCAGGTTCACTGAAACACACTACTGAGGGGAGCAGTGGGCGAGACAGGAGAGGTCTGCTGCACCGTGTGGGTCACCTCCCTGCTTGGGGAATGGAACTCAATGAACTCATGCTGCAGTGGCTGCAGATAGCTTCATAGTGCTGCCATTTAACCCTGCCACCAGAGAGGCCTGAAAATAGACATATAGCACAGATTTTGGGGAAAATGTTGTTATTTCATATCACTTATTCACTGTTGGGATGATGTTAAAGAAACAAAGTCAGGAGAACTCTGAATGTGAGTCAGAGAAGAAGGCACACACGGACTGCTCATGAGGTGGGAATGCAGCCACGGAGAGCCAGCCAAGAGTGTCTCACCCTGTACTAATTAGAGCAATTAAAGACAACAGGCCTGTGAAATTATTAATATCTAAACAATGTCAAGATAAAATCAGCAGTTATTTCCCTTTTATGACTCTTGAATAGAATGACTCTTTCTTTTATAGGTGTTTTAGTTGCTGGTTTTTCTGCACATTACTCAGAATTTCATTAAGACTACTGATCTCAGAAAGACTTCAAATAACTATGGTAAATTTAGTAAAATTTACTTTTGTTTAGACCTAAGAATTCAAGCAGCCCAGTGCTTCACTTTACAGATGGTAATGCAAGGCCTGAGTCAACCTTGCTGAAGCTACCCCGTGACTGACAGGACCCGTTTGTTTCTCCTGCCAGCGTGAGATCTCTGGGGTGTTAGCAAGCCCTATACACCTGGGAGGTGTTGGGAATTCAGGATTAGTACAGGGAGAGGAGAGGGAAGAGCACCCAATGTGAACAGCCTGTTTTAAACTAGGACACACAAATATCCCCGCTGGTGGCCAGCACACCCACAAATTGTGAGGTTTTGCCTCTTCCTGGGGGCACATCACCAGGTCTGTGCAAACCCCCCCGGGACTCAGCCTCTGACCCGTTAACTCAAACACAGCAATTGTGTGCAGACAGGACACTGCACACACACCTCAGTTGCAATATTTCTGAGTTGAGTATCAAGAGGCAACAATTATTATGAGAAATATGTCAAACAATACTGATTTAGAAAATATGAGATAAAAAATTAATTAGCCAAAGCTAGCTATTTTACTCCATTAGAGTTCCATTTCCAGAGACTTATCACTTTGTTTTGCGCACAGTGCCACCTGCTGACGAAAGCTGCAACTGCATGGGTTGAAGAACGAAATTGGTCATTCATGGAAGTAACTAGAGTTAATGAGAGCCAGAGGCAGAAAGTTATCACTACTCTTGATCACTAGCATGTCCACTGGTGAAAAGCTGGATTCATGAGTGAGAGTGACAGGGAGCCAATACTCATTGAATGGCTACACACAGAACTTACTTTACCTACAGAACACACTTTATTTTCTGCCATTGAATCTGTAGTAAAGAATCAGTATGAATTCATATCACACACTTCAGAATTCAAAGTCAAGTTTCTCTGAGTATTTTGGGCAGGTGAAAATAAAATTTAATAATAAACCATGTAAAAATAGCTCTCAATAAAAATACATTTCTCATTAAATGTACACATTGTAATTTGCATCCTGACTTCAGAAACATTGAAATAGGAGGAAGAAATCAGACAAAGCCAAATGTTATCTGGAAATTTACTGTTTTCTATTTTTCAGTTCTTCACCTACATCTATCAATAATGAAATCTACTACTTTAAAAATAAGAAGTAGTAACTGAACTCTTGAGGATTTGAAGCAACATGACAACCAGTAGTAGATGCCATGTCTGTGAGTAGCAGCACTACCCTCCATCAGAGAACTGGGGTGTCTTAGGCAAAAAAGAAATTGTTGTACCATGTTTCGGTGTCACATCTTGTTTCTCAAACCTTGATGTGACCTGCAATGTCAATGACATGTTGCACTATTTGCCAAAATGCCATGCCATGGACAGGTCACAAAAGTCTGCGGAGGGAGGCCTCCTGTGAACATTGGGGGAAAAGGGCCTGTGAATTACTTTGACAACCCTTTCTGTTTTCCTATGTGGGACTGTGGAGACAGAGCTTCCCTGAGCCTCGATCTTTCAAAAGTATAATGTCCCGAGACAGTAGATTAGATGGCCTGTGTGGTCCCTTCCTTTCGGACACTCTGTCTGTATTAACAAAGGCAAGACTTGATCAAAGTTCATGAAATAGCCGTGGACTCCAGAGCTACTGTCTGTGACTGGTCATGACAGCTCAGTCCAGGTGGAGTATCTGTGCATCCATTCAGCCAAATAAAGTGCACAAAAGAAGAACACCCATGTTATTTCAGAAAACTATTAGTTGCAGAGGGAGAGAAAAAAATATGATTTTTTTAAATTTTGGGCAAAAATTGAAACTATGCCCACATAAGAACCGAGGGGAGTTCACAAATCCATTTTCATAATTTTGTTAATGGAACCTTGGTCTCTTTATTCTGTTTGTGTTTTGTTGTGAGATAAAGCAAGTTAATTCTGTAACTTATTATTCCTGCCATTCCTGGTTTTTATGAAAATGGAATTTTTGGTATGGAAGAAAGAAGATAAAGACTAAGTTCAAAAAAATAAATAAATAAAGCCTAGTAGTCCTGAATTTGAATTTAAAGTAAATGTCTGAAGCCATTTTTTTTTAAAGAAAAATTGTTTTTCTAGGTATGTCCACAAGTAAAGGTCTTTAAACAAGCCAGGTTTAGAATCTAACAAACTTCCTACCATGCAAATTCATTCCTGATAGCTTGATTGAGAGAATATTCATCCTGAGAGAATTTTCCATACACTATAAACAAAAGCAGCAGCAGCATGAAGATGTGCATAGGGATGTCTCTGTAAGAAAGAAAGCTTTAAATTAGCATCCTCACAAACCCCACATGTATAGACCCAGCAAAACATTTCTTTATATATGAATATGCATATATATAATATCACTATTCATTTTTTTTTACAATGTTTTCTTTTCTTAGGTCCCTGTAAAATTCCCACTGCCAACTCACCTGTGAACTATCAGCATAGTCTTGTGCTTTTCCCTCCATTGTTTTAATCACTCTCTCCTGCTGAATGGCTCCAACTTACAGTTTGCCACTAGTTTTGTCTCCCCCACCATCCCTTATTTGGTTCCCCTATATTCCTCCTGTAAGTGAAACCACTGATATTTTTCTTTTTCTAATTTCCCTAGGCATAAACCCTTCTAGCCCCATCAATGTTGTGCAAATGCTGAATAGTGTTCTGTTGTGTATATCCACATCTTCTTGATCCAGTCATCTATATTTAGGCAGTTGTGTTTTTTCCATATCTTACCTACTGTAATAGTGCTGCAATAAATATAGGGGTGCAAGTTTACTTTGAAGTTAATTTTTTGTGTCTTGTGAGTAGATTGTTAGGAGGGAAATTGCTAGGTCATATAGCTTCTGTTTTTAATAATTTCAGGAACCTCCACACAGCTTTCTGTAGTGGTTGGACCAGTTAGCATTTCCACCAGTGGTGTAGGAGAGTTCCTTTTTCTCTATATCCTCAACAGCATTTATTATTATCAGCTTCTTTTTTTTAAAAATATGTGCCATTTTCATTGGTGTGAGGTGGTATTTCATTGTGGTTTTGAGTTGCATTTCCCTCATTACAAGCGATGTTGAACATTTTTCTGTATACCTGTTGACCTTTTGCATTTTCTCTTTGGAGAAGTGTCTTTTTAGCTCTTTTGGCCATATTTTGATTGGATTGTTTTCAAAACACAGTTCTAATGTAGCTGGGTTTGTAAATCTCTGCAGTAAATTTTTATAAAAGATGTGTTAAAAAAGAAAATTTGTACTAAATCCACCGAGACTTAACATCTAACTGAACTGTGGTTTTTTTTATGAACTCCTGGTCCCAGGCCCCTTCCAGGAATGTAGGTTTACTTGATCAGTATGGAATTTTCTGTTCTGCACCAATGAGGTATTATTTTCTATTCCCCAACTGAAAATGAGATAATCCACTACATGACCATTTTCTATTTCCCATGGGTAGGTAACCTAAGCCTAAAATTATTTCCTCTTCCCTTATCTTGCTCTGTTTCTTCCTGTAAAACCTCTCCATCCATACAGTTTTCAGTGCCTTTCTATATGCTGGATGAGATGCTGTCTGACTTAACTTAACAAAGCTAACTAAATCATTAAAATTAACTTAGTTGGATTTGTGTTATTTAAAGTGTGAGGTAGGTGTTCAGGATCATTTTTTTTTTTTTTCACACCAACATACAATTTCTACAGTATTATTTTTGAAAGACTATTTTTTCTCAAATCTGCAAGTGCAATAGTTCCTGTTTCCTAATACTCAATAACCAGAGTATGTGGCCAAATAATTGGATTTTTGCAGTGTTTACTTGTATAAGTAAATTGCCATTCACATTTCTTATTTCTGTTGACCAATTTTTTAGCTCATTTTTCTTTTTGTTCTAAATTATTGGCCCTTTTCATTTTTGTAAACCTCTTTATAAGTTAAGATTAATTTTTTTGATAGAAGTACTTCTTCCCAGCTTATCAGTCTTTTTACCCTGATTATGGTATCACTTGCCATAAGTTTTTTCTTCAAGTTTTGTGTCACATGTTTGTTTTGTTTACTCTTTTTAGTTGTTTTGCTTTGTTTCTGGGTTTTAAGCCTTAGGGAAAATCTAATCATTCTTTTAGGACTTTCATTGTTTTACCTTTTATATTTAGATCTATATCCAGTTGAAATTTAATTCTGCATAATATGACAAAAGCATTCAACTTAATTTTTTTTCCCCATTTGGCTATTCAGTTACTCCCAATTCAATTTATTAAAAACTCCATGTTTGCCCCTTTATCATAAACAATCTTCCATTTATTTGTTTATATGAAGGAAATTAGGTTTTGTTTTTTTAATTTTATAACCTCTTTACTAAATTCTCGATAGCTTTTTTTATTTTTTCCATTTTTGCGGGATTTTCCAGACTGTAGTCATTCTATATGCAAAAAAAAGCCCATGTGGCTCTTCAATTCTGCGATCCCTGCTTTCTCAGGCTCATCCATCCTGCTCTGCTGGGCACTGTCCCAGGCACCTTCCCCACAGTGTGAGCCAGGCTAGTCCTGCGACCTCAGCTGCTCCTGGCTCCAGACCTGCAGACAAGCAGACCAGCCCTTCCTGTGAGCTGCATTCACTGCGCCACAAACTGCTCCTCAGCCCCGCTCTTCGCAAAGACACACAGCATCTCCGCCATTAAGGCCCAGGAGCTTGGGCTATCCACTTCTCAGGCACTTCAGGCGCCCCAACACTGTCCTCCATCTATGCTGTAGGTCTTAGTACTTGAATGGCTCACAGGATGCTTGTGGGGAGCAGCCCGTTCGCTGCTGCGCACGGTTTCCATAGGACTTGTTAACTGAAGCTCCGCTTTGATGAGATTCAGCTGAAGCGAGACCTGCGCCCCAGTCTCCTTCCTGTGGTTCCCCTGCCCCTTACTTTTGACTGTGGCATCTTCAGGCAGTATGTGACTTTAACTCTGTAAGTGCCAATCATTTACATTTCACTTGTTTATGAACTATGTGTATTTATTGCCCTTTGTTGGGATCCATTTTTTTCTTTCCTGTTTTATTTGGACTCTGTTTCCATCGTCTTATCTTATATGGTACTTCTATGTTTTTCTTTGAAGTTATATCAGGTTTATATGTGATGGTTTATACTTGTAATCTATTGAATTGTTTAATCTTAAACTCATTCTAATGGTCCACATTTTTATTTTCCTCTCCACATTGTATAATTTTGTATGTTTCCTCCAGATGAAATGTACTCTTAACTTCCTGGTAGTCACTTTAGCATTTATTTCAAAACTGTTTGGTGGTGAGGTGTTCTTTTACCTTTTTTTTTCCTTAATGTCCTTTACCTATCCTTTAATCTTAAATAATAATCTGCCTAGATAAAGTAATTCTCACTTGCAAACTCATTTTTTTTCTTTTTTTATTATAATGATTTTTATTTTTTTAAGACTGTAGTTTTAATATTTTTGAGTCCCCCCAAAGTAATCAATACATTTTTTTTCATTATGACCCAGCTGATATATATCTAGCCAAAATTAAGCTCCATTATTTAGCCATCCTTCATGAGATACTCTGATATTTTTCCTTTTTAATTATATATATATATATATATATATATATATATAAAACCTTATTCTTTATTTTTCATCTCAGTTATAATCCCCATGGACTTTCCACCACCAATTCACCCCTGTGCCATCACCATAGTCCTGTGTGCTCTTCTCACCCCAGTTTGGATCCTAATCCTTTCTTCACCCCTGTAGAATGTCTCTGGTGAATAGTTGCTCATTGATTTTTGTTTTTACTTTATTACAATTTCTTTCTTTCTTTCTTCTTCTTTTTTTTCCCCTGATTCCTTACACTCCTGCTATGAGTGAAACCATCCGGTATTTTTCTTTTACTTGCTGGCTTATTTCACTAAGCATGATCACTTCTAGCTCTATCCATGTTGCTGCAAAAGGTATGAATTTGTCTTTTTTGATTCCTAAGTAATATTCCACCTATTCTTGATCCAGTCATATATTTTTAGACATTATTAGACATTTTAGACATTAGACACATCTTCGCTATTATAAAGAGAGCAGAAATAAACATAGGGTTGCAGATGTCCTTTTGAATTAATGTTTTTGTGTCCTTTGGGTAGGTACCTAGGAGTGGGATTGCTGGGTCATATGGAAGCTACATTTCTAGAAGTTTGAGAAACCTCCACACAGCTTCCGTAGTGGTTGCACCAGTTTGCATTCCCACCATCAGTGTGGGAGAGTTCCTTTTCTCCACACATCCTCGCCAACATTTGTTGTTGCTAGTTTATATTTAATTCTCACTGGTGTGAGATGGTATTTCATTGTGGTTTTGATTTGCATTTCCCTTATTACAAGTGATGCTGAACATTTTTTCATATGCCTATTGGTTATGTTGGTTATCTGCATTTCTTCTCTGGAGAAGTGTTTTTTTTTTTTTTTTTTTTTCTCTTCTGCCTATTTTTGATGGGGTTGTTCATTTTATTTTTGTTGAATTTCATCAGTTCTTTGTATATCTTTGTGATCAGCCCTTTATCATTAGTATTGTTGCAAAAATTTTCTTTCAATCAGTGGGGTGTCTCTTTGATTTGTGTAATGTCTATTTTGCTATACAGACACTCTTTAATTTGATGTAGTCCTAACTGTTTATCCTTCCCTTTACTATCCTTGTTTTGGGTGATGTATCTTTAAAGATGTTACAAAGGTGTATGTTGTGTAGTGTTTCACCAATATTTTCTTCTAGATATTTTATGGCTTCAGGTCGTATGTCTAGTTCTTTAGCATCCATTTTGAATTGTCTTTTTTGTGTGTGTGTGTATAGTGCGAGATAGTAGTCTAGCTTCATTTTTTGCATGTAGCAGCCCAGTTTTCCCAGCACCATTTGTTGAACAAACTTTCTTTGTTCCATTGCATATTCAGCTATACATGACAAACCCACAGCCAATATTATCCTCAAAGAAGAAAAGCTGAAAACCTTTTTTTTTTTTTTTAAGATCAGGAACAAGACAAGGATGTCTCACTACTGATCTTCAATATAATACTGAAAGTCCTAGCCAGAGTATTAAGACAGGAAAAAGACATACAAGGAATCCAAATAAGGAAAGAAGAAGTAAAACTATCTTTATTTGCAGATGATATGATAATTTACATGGAAAACCCTGAAAATTCCACAGAAAAACTAATCAGAACAATTAAACAGTTTAGTAAAGTAGCAGGATGTAAAATCAACCCACAAAAGTCAGTAGCCTTATTATACACAAGCAACCTATCAGAAGAAGTGGAAACAAACAAAAAAATTACCCTTCACAATTAAAACAAAAAATCAAATACTTGGGAATAAACCTAACAAAATGGTAAAAGACCTATACAAAGAAATTTATAAAACACTGCTAAAAGAAATACAAGAAAATACAAAGAAATGGAAAGACATCCCCTGCTTATGGATCAGAACAATTAATCATTAAAGTGGCCATCTTACTAAAAGCAGTTTACAGATTTAATGCTATTCTAATAAAAATCTCAATGACATTCTTCAAAGAAATAAGACAAATACTGATGAGATTTATATGGAACCATAAAAACCTTGAATAGCCAAAATTCTCCTGACTAAAATAAAAGAGAACGGAAGTATCATACTTCAAACAATACCACAAAGCCATAATAATAAAACTGCATGGTACTGGAACAGACATATAGACCAATGGATTGAATAGAAAGCCCCGATATAAACCTAAGGTTTTATGGACAGATAATCTTTGTCAAAGGAACAAATCCATTTTATTGAGGATTTTAAGTGTTTCCTGTCATTCCCTTATGGCCTTCAAAGTTTCAACTGAAAAGTCTGCATATAATCTAATAGGTGTTACTTTGTACATAAAGCTTCTCTAGTTATGAATTCTGTGATTGTCACTGGGTTTTAATAGTCTCATTATATGTCTTTGGATGTGTCTGTTTGGATTTCTTATTCCTAGGAGGACTCTTTGAGTGTCTCAAATCAGGATATCTCGTTTCTTTCTCAGATTAAGGAGTTTATCTGATATTATTTCTTTAAATAAATTTTTCTATATCTTTCTTGCTCATCTCTATAGGGGACTCCCATAATACAGATATTGTTTCTCTTTAAATTGTCCCAAAGAGCCCTTACACTTTTCCTATTTTTCTCTTTGTGTGTGAGTGTGTTTTTCCCATCACTGTGTATTGAAGCTTGCTGATTTTATCAGCCACTTGTTATTTGTTTGCTATTCAGGTGGGTCTCAGACCATATGTGCTTTGAAAGAAGTCCAGAGACTAATATTCTTAGTCAGTTTCCTATCACAGGTACTTGGTGACCCCATCTGATTCCAGCTCATTTCTCTGTATCCTGTATGCTGGGGAGGAAGTGCTTTCATGGGCCAGGATAATTTTGGAACCATTGAGCCCTTCTACATATCTTTCCCACTCCAGGTATTGAAACACTCTGTCTCAAAGGGTAGCTGGGCCAGAGGAGATCTCACCCACCTTAGTATTACTCGTGTTCTCATCTTTCTTCTCATCCTCGCCTTGATGACTTTGAGCTGGGCTGTGGAAGGTGGACATGCCCAACGCAGGCGACGTGCTTGGTGTCGGGCATCCAAGACCTGTGAGGAAGGGAGCATTGTGAACCTTGGGTTGGTGGTGGAAGAAGAAAGGCTGGAATGCTCTTCTGAGCAAGCAAGAGCCTCATCACCACCTTCGCATTTGACCATGCTTGGGAATGATTAGTTAGTATGTACTGGGGCATGAGAATGTTGGTCAGTGAGACAGAAAGAGGAGTAGGCCCACTGGCACTCTGCTTACATCTCAGCCTGGCTGTATTGCCATGGAAGGCAAACAGGCTGCCATCATAATATTTAAGGGGCAATTTCCTTGACATTTGCACATTTTTTTTTTTT